GATTACTTTATCAAGTGATGGTAGGCATTGGGAATTGACAACGACATTAGAACCTATGTCGAAACGTCGCCTCCACAGAATAAAAGAAGTTGTATATCCATAATAATTGCCATTATTCTTCATCAACTCAACTTCTAAAATGCCCATCAAAGAAGGGCCCACATGTTCATAAATCAACTGCATGATCTAATGGACGGCGACAAGCACTGGTGTTCAACACGGTCAAGATATGCAGTGATATGGATGATGAGGCCAGGTGTATCATATTACCTGATTATGATGCTTATCTCTACATTTGACAGACAGACAGACAGTTTTATTCAGTAAAAAGGCCACTGGCCCATAATACAGTCAAATGCGTGATCACACATCACATGAATGGTACACAATGATTTATAAAAATGTTCTGCTCTTCATTCTAATTTGTACATTATATAAGAATAAAGAAACATTCTTAATCATATCGACATTTGCAGATTGCATAATATGGATAAAGTTGTTTATCGTCGGCGGCTTACTTAAATATTTCCCAATATATTTCCCTCGAATATCAGAGAAACATTCACAAATATACAAAATATGCCACTCATCTTCCACAACATTAATACCCTTGGATTTACAAAATAAACAAAATCTTTCATTAGAAGCAATATTTTCATATCTCCCAGTCGCTATTGCTAGATTAAAGTTTCCGCATCTAAATTTTGAAAGGGCAGATCTCAAATTTAAATAAATATTACAATTTATGTATTTTTCTACATCTAACAGAGTCTTATACTGACAATAATAAACAGTTTTAAGTGAATTTTCAATGGAAGAAAGCCAGGATTGCTTTAAATTATCCCAGGAGTAACTACTAGAAATCCTGTCAAACGGGAATCTGTGGTTTCAGCCTTTAACTTAGACTAAGGCTTAGTCTCTGAATATATATAATTTTGATAGTAACAAACAAGCCCATTTAAATTGAAAAGGAGCCCTAGGGAGACCAGAGATTCAGAACCTGGGGAAATCTAGACTTGCTTCGTTTAGGGCTTTAGCACTACAGGGAAGGCTAGGCTGTAGAGAAAATAATGTGGTTCAGGGACTGTGAGACAGACTACCTTTAACTGTTAAGCTTCTAACAATGCCTGACTTTATGGTGTAAGTCTATACTAGTATAGAGATTCTGGCACTGTAAAGTACAGTCAAATCCCGATGAGTCGAATCGCTGGGGACCAAGTAATATATTCGACTTATCGATGTATTCGAGACATAGGTATGTCTATGAGGGTAGAAAAAAAGATGATCCAGTCCTAATTCCTCCTCCTAAGCATTTGTTAATCTAATGATTTCCATATCACTAATAGGGACACCTTATCAGTTCCAGTCTGATTAGCACAGACAGTGATTTCCGTAAAATCACTAATCTGCCTTTTGAACTCACCCGTTAATTGGATCAGTTTGCTACACCAATCAACTTCTCATTGACTGACTTCGGCTTATGTATACATGATTGCTGTTGTTTGAATCTCATGGGACCAAATTTCCTTCTCGAGTTATCGTGTGTATTTTTGAGACGAATTCGTGTAACCGGTATTCAAATGATGACAACTATAACAGGGACTGGTCGGGACCGACAGGTACTTCGAGTTATGCATAATATTCGAGACACCGGCATTCGACTCATCGGGATTTGACTGTATATATATACTCCTGACAACACCCCATTCAGGGGCGGATAAAGCTGTTACCAAATTAATTTTCACGAGAGGTTCAATTGTCATTTAATATGCTTTCAGGACAAACATACCGAAACATGAATCTCATTAACCTATTCAGACAATGACCTACTTTTCAGCCGATCCGAATTTTCTCATGTAAAAGTGAAAAGAGACACCACAAACAACTATGGTTACACTTTTCCAATTCCTTGTTTCATAAGAAAATGGTATTTACAAGTTAATTTTTATTTTAAACTTTAATAACATCGTATTTCTATATTTTATGGCGAGGTGTAGGCAGCATGACCATAACTGAGACGTCACAGACTGCCCCTGTTTGATGAGGTCGTAAAATAATTCACAATTCATCTGGCTCACTGGTTACACCTGTTATGTGTTGTTGTGTGCTTATTCAGTGTAGTTTTGGAACGCACAATGTGATTGATATAATATCAAGTCCGTACCAGACCGCCAAACTTTTCTAGCGGCAGAGCCTCGTTTTGGGATTTCCACGATTTCCAGATTTCCGTCTGTCAGAGCACGCTGTACGACAGAGCACGCTGTACGACGTGTCTGTAAGGATTAGAAGGAGCGTAGTATTACAATATACAAGTGATTAGAAGTATCAAATAATACTGATTAATATTTATGTATCCAGTTGAATGAATTGGTCTCAAAATTCTGGACTGGTTATTGTACTATGTTGCGCAATAGGACGAAACCCAGTCAACAGGAAACGAGACTGTTGTGTAATCGATGTTTTGACTTGAGAGGATTGGGGGAGATGCGCACCTCCGCAAAACAAACAAACAAACAAACACACACACACACACAAAAAAACACACACACACACACACACACACACACACACACACACACACACTCTCACACACACACACTCTCTCTCTCTCTCACACACTCACACTCACACTGGCTTCGCCCTTGCCCCTAGGAATCAACTAACAGTACTAAGTCTATCCCAAAAGTGCACGTGGCTTTTTTGCAACCTGTTCTTCTATAGGTAGTCTGTCTCACAGTCCCTGAACCACATTATTTTCCACACTGCCTAGTCCTCCCTGCAATACTAAAGCCCTAAATGAAGCAAGTCTAGATTTTCCCCAGGTGAATCTCCCAACTCTCTTGGGCTCCTTTTCAATTTAAATGGGTTTATTTGTTACTATCAAAATATATAGATTCAGGGACAAAGCGTTAGTCCACACTAAAGGGTTGCTTCCCACTTTGCCATCCTGGCATTACCTCTCTCAACACAATGCGTAACCTCGGGGTACCAGTGAACAGTACCACCCACCCACACACTGGAGTACATACAGGTTATACACATACATGAAGCACGGCTGCCAAAGAGGCCGTTCCTGTCTGACTGGTGTGTAGATCTGATGCGGCAAACAGTTTGCACAGACATGTAACAGCAGTATGTTCCAGATACAGTAAACACGTCGTCCTTGGCAGCCTCTTGCAACATCGGCGGTGATAGCGTCAGCGTCGATTACAGTTATCAGTCGTCTTGCCTCCACAGTTACAGACAGTTAGCCATTGTGAATCCCTGACACGACTGAACTCGCGTTTACCTTTGCCGTTACAGCAACCGTCACTTATGCTTCGTTAAGAACTAAAACAGCCATGATGCATTACATCGTCTCCCAACAGCTTAGAGCTTAGCTTCTGGCCGCTACTATCAATACTACTAATATTGCTGCTACCATAACCGCTACTACTACTACTACTACTACTACTACTACTACTACTACTACTGCTGCTACTGCTACTACTGCTGCTGCTGATACTATAACAACAACTACTACTACTACTACTACTACTACTACTACTACTACTACTACTACTACTACTACTACTACCACCACTACTACAACAACTACTTTTGAGAGGGGAGGGAGAGAGAGAGTTTCAATGGTCATTTAACAAACTTTCATGCCAAAAGGCGATCCGCCTATGTACTACTACTACTACAACTACTACTACTACTAATAATAATAATTATACTGCTACTACTCCTGCTACTACCATAACTACTGCTACTGCCACGACTACTACTACTTCTGCTGCTGCTGTTATTCTTACTACTACTACTACTACTACTACCACAACTGCTGCTGCTAGTTTTACTGCTATAACTGCTATAACTACTGCCAAGCCTGCTACAAATACCGGAACCTGTACCAGTGCTGATGTCCCAACAACTACTACCACTACTACTACTACCAATCTACTACTCCCACTACAAGAACCATTACTAAAACACACAAAATTACTATTCCATTACTTCATAATTAATGACTTCACCAGCGTCTACCACTGCAACTATACAAATATTTGTTCGCGAGCCTGTACCTTGCTTCCCCAACTTCAACAACTGCATCAACTCCTACTACGACAATACACACCGTCGACAGGCCTATCCGCGAGCCTTTACCTAGACTAAAACTTAGTCCCTGTGTGTATGTGTGTGTGTGTGTGTGTGTGTGTGTGTGTGTGTGTGTGTGTGTGTGTGTGTGTGTGTGTGTGTGCGTGTGTGTGTGTGTGTGTGTGTGTGTGTGTGTGTGTGTGTGTGTGTGTAAATTGAAAAGGAGACCCGGTGATTTGGGAGATTCTAAACTTGCTTCATTTAGGGGGTTAGCATTACAGTGTGACCTAGGCATTAGGGAAAATAATGTGGTTCACTGTGAGATAGACTAGCCTATATCTTGCCTCCCCTACTTCAACAACTCAAGCGTCTTCTAGTTTTCTGCTTTGAATCAGAGCTTCGAGCGCTTAAAAAAAGATTTAAAAATCAAGCTATGTAAATCAAGCATTGACGTGTACCGTCACGTGACTTGTGGCCCCGAGCGGTGAATGAAAAGAAGAATTTAAATACACTCCATGTTCTCATTCATCATGACAACATACAATTCAAATCCGATAGACACCGACCTCCTAGAGAAAGAGTGAACATATTTTTATTTTATATTTATTCATATATATATTTCTGCGGTCAAAAATCCATCTTCATTGTAAGCCACGCATTTCAAATATTGATTACCATATATGTATAATGAACTTGCTCGTTCGCCAGATGAGTCAACCGCCATAGGTGTTGAAGTCCACGCCCATTGCATGCATTAACTACAAGCGTACTGTCATAACACTTGTGTTGTCCTACTCAATACACCTCTCCTGCAATAAAATGATCATAATGATTATTATGTTTACCACATTCCTATATGATTAAATACAAAAAGCCACCAAGTTGGCTATTAGTGGGATATTTTCCCTCGCTAACGCCAGGCGATCTCGCCAATCACATATATCGCCTTTCTGAAACTTTTGTGTCGTGTGCAAAACTTTCCCGTCTGATTCAATATTGGCGGACAAGAGCGACTTTGATAGTTACAACCAACGCTTCATCACTCTACCACCATGCCCCCTAAATTCGTAAGTACTTTGTGATTGTATGTTAGGCATAGGTCTATAACAGTCGCAGATGTATGAATTAATTATTCGTTTGCTTTAGGTTGATGGGTAAAATTCTCTACAATATATTTTGGTGTAGGCCTTTCGTGTTTCTGGGAGATAAGTCTCACCGCTTTGGGGTGAAGTTGTTCGGAGAACGTAGACACGGGGGATGTGGGGTTGGGATGCTGCAGCAGGGTGAAACAATTTGACCTGCCATGGAATGAACAAGTGCAGCTGGATACGTCATATCTCGTCAGCTTGGAGCTGTATATGTATACTAGACTGTCTTGTGTTCGAGCAGACGACATTTTCCCGTGTAAGTGAAGCGCAGACCTGACGACTTTCATTTTCCGCTGATTATTGTTTGCTGTGTTTGGTTTAATGTTTTTGTTTGTGACCCGGTTGAGTCTCGAGATGTCACAAAGGACACTTTCAACACAGGAATCAGAGGAAGTATTAGAAACCAGCTGTATCAGTGATAGAAATTCCGTAGTATATTCCGCGTTTTAGACACCAGATATGCAGGAATACATACATTAACACTCTACTCCATGAATATATAGTGCTGTCATGTAGGATGTTTAATGTCAGTAGAGCTGTTTGAGTGTTGCTAGAGGAGGTATTTACACTATCGACCCGTCCCTGCTGTCGTCTGCTCACAACGTCGAGATCAATGTCCCACCTCGAACAATGTAACTGAAATACACATGTTCCAGAAATATCTTCCCTGGTTAACGCCTTCTCATTTAATACACATTTTCTTCAGTCAAGTCGGGACACAGCTTCATGTAGCAAACAACCAACTTGATCTTATGCCCAGTGAGAGTGACCGTACCACCCAATCACAACAAGTCTCTGAAGACGATTTATGTTCCTTGCTATCTGTCTGAAACGTACTCCAAGAGCTGAGCGAACCCCGCCCTAACCGATGTTCACTCGCGTTTTAACGTTCTCTCTGACGCAGGTTACCCTCAAGACTAACTCTCAGTCTCTGAATATATACAATTTTGACAGAAAGAAAAGCCTCATTTAAAATTGAAAAGGACTGTCAGTGAAGTGGGAGGTTCAGAACCTAAAATTGGGGAAATCTTGACTTGAATCTTCAGAGGTCTTGCATTACAGATAGGACTTGGAAACATAATATGGTTCAGGGACTGTGAGACAGGCTAGTTGCCCTCTAATGCTGACGCACTCTATCATTTCTCACTGCCTCGGTGTAACGAGTTCCTAAGCGCGCCAAAACGAGAATACATTCATGCCATTTTCAATATTTGAACAAGATCTTTCTTTCACAACGGGAACACATCCACTACATAGCTGGATTGTTTACACTTGCCCATCTACTGGGTCGCGCCCAGAATAAGTTGCTCTCAAGAGGGAGCCAGTTGTATGTATGCAGATTTTCCACTCTCGGCTCTGCCTATTACTGTCGAGGTGATACATACTGTTATAGCCTGTTGTGTACTAGTAGCAGGTGATATACAGTGATAACATATCAATTATCAGGTCATGTCGTAGGCAGTATACAGTGTTACATTTATTCCAAGGCTGATGCTCCCTTGATGTGACTGATACTCAGGGAACAACAAGGCTGATACGCACGTTTAGCATGGTAGACTTGCACAAGTCCCTAAAGTAATAATTAATAGTTTAAATGATAATTTCTATGAAAAAAATATAAATATCCCACTAACAGACTGGCGTCCTTACACTGTCCACCTATCTAGACTTTCCTCTTAAAGGATTGAATTACTATACATCCATGGGCTTAGCCTTCAGTTCAGCCTTGCACCAAGGATAACAGCACGATCGACTGGGGACCGGCCAAACACCCCTCAGGACAAAAGCCCCATGGTACAAAAGTCCCTCGACCAAAAGCCCCTCTAGACAATAGCCCCTCTAGACAAAAGCCCCTCGCTAATTTGAGCACCCCTGTCAAAAGCCCCTCGATTCATGCACTTGTTTCAAATATTTCATAATAATACTTGACAAACAAACATTTCTCATAGCCAATCTCAGGCTTTCCCATGGAGGAAATGGGTATATGGTTTATCGTGTCAGGTTTAGCTCCAGAATTATTATGTCATGTCATTTATAATTCTTGTCGATTTGTTTTCATTTGTTTGATGATATATATTTCTTATTCTCTATTCTCTAAAAATATTTGCTAATTACATATTAATATATATTATTTAGGGTCATCAAGCAATAAAATGTATCATGTTGTTAATCATTTCTTGTCTTTAATCATATTTTCCCATTAATAAGTAAAGTGAGGGGCTTTTGGTCATTTTTCGAGGGGTTTTTGTCCTGAGGCGTTTTTGTACCAAGGGTTTTTTGTCCTGTGGGGCTTTTGACCTAGACCCGATCGACTAACACTTAGTCCCTGAATATATATAATGTTGATAGTAACAAATAAACCCATTTAAATTGAAAAGGAGCACCAGTGAGTTGTGAGATTGAACCTGAGGAAATCTAGACTTGCTTCATATAGGGCTTTAGCATTGCAGGGAGGGCTAGGCAGTAGTGAAAATAATGTGGTTCAGGGACTGTGAGACATACTAATAGCATGGATGCATGGGAGTTGCCAGGTTTAGGTCATAGCTGATACTCGGTATTTTGCACAGTTGTGTATCATTACAGTACATGCTGTGTCAGATACTGACTATCAGAGCACAGAAGGATTATTATGTCTTGTAAATGGCGAACCGACTTTCAAAAACAGTAATCCCGTCGTGGTTTCAATGACCTACTGAGAGCTGAATATATCAACTGAAAACTGCTATCTGTATAGACCCGGCTAACATACCTCCACAGAATCAACTATGTGCCACAAAGAACATTCTATACTTAATTCTATGTCCTTTTCGTTGCTACAGGGGAGAATGTAATCCTTTCTGTGTTCAAGTCGGTTTATTAGAATGATATCCCTGACGCAATGCTGGGATGGTCGTTTGATAGACGTCGATGGAGGTTTATTCACACCGCTGAGGGCGACCTGACACGCCGAGTTATGCACATCGTAATGGAATAACCTCACATCCAAAACGGAAGTGGCAATCGCGTGCTTCCGACGTGTCAGATAAGGATTAATGACTTCAGCGGTAGAAGGGGCTCCGGGATGAATGAAAAGGAACACTAATCGTTTTTGAATTACCCTTTTTTCTTATTATCATTTTTATTTTGCCATCTGAAGACAGATTTGATGAGATGTGATCCTAAATAATTCATTTAAATAATTCATTTACATACTTAATGTTTACATACCTAAGTACATACTTAATGAACGTAGATTTAATGTCAGTATGTGATGATAACACAGCGCTATACATTTATATGTCTGGTCTTTCTGTTAAAGACATAAATTGATCGGCTTCGTTTTCATACGCCCCCTCAAAACTTCACTTCAGCTTGCAGGCAACGAGCATGATCTCCGCAAACTGCTCTTGTAATCTCGCTTTGAGGGGATGAGCTCAAAGGGATCAAAATGAATATTAAGAGGATTGTGAAGAATCACGTTAAATCCAGGATGCAGGTTAATCCGAGGATTTTGATTAAAATCTGTCACAGATCGTTGCCCTGGATTACTTTGCTTTTTAGAATCGACAACACTGAAACGTGACGTCACTTCCTGCATATCATGCCCTCCGTATGTCCGCTTAAAAATTCATTATGTTGCTGTCAAAGGCAGCGAAACATGATAGGCCATCTTGCCAACGTTGCTCTGTGTCCGCCCATTCTTTGCAGAATAAGTCCTCAAAAGCCCGCCTAATCATGACGGTCACATGTGGCTCTAACGTCTAATGCGCTGCAAGTCGTTGTGTCTGATTATTGGTTCGAATCCCGTCCTCCCCGATGGTTCACCGGTTCATCAGCACCATACCGTGCAAGAGGGTTGCGCCAACGTCTTGAATGCCTGAGAGCTGCGCCACTTCGAGATTTCCTCCCGCTAATACACCGTGATATCTTTAATACTGTTTTAAGGTACCTTAAAACAAATTCATTTGCTCACTCTAAGTTGTGGATCTGGTGATTACCTGGGAGCTTCCTCATGACTTCAACCACTAGTTTGCTTAAAGTGAGTGAGTTTAGTTGTACGCCCATGTTAGCAGTATTCCAGCAATATCACAACAGGGGCCAGTAGAAATGGGCTTCACACATTGTACCCACGTGGAAAATCGAAGCCGGGTCTTCAGCGTGACGAGCGATCACCCCAGGGGCGGATGCAGCTTTTGGGGAAGGGGGCTTGCACGCTATTGAGAAAAGGAGGGGTGCACACTTCATTTTCACCCGAGTTTCAATAGTTCATTGAACAAACGTTCAGGACAAAAGGAGGGGCGCGCACCCCTGCACACGATGGATCCGCCTATATGCACCTGAACTACTAGGGACCGCCTCCGTGGTGTAGTGGTTAGAGCGTCCGCCCGGAGAGCGGAAGGTCGCGAGTTCGATCCCCGACCGCGTCATACCAAAAGATGTCAAAATATGGTACTTGTTGGTCCCTGCCTGGCGCTCAGCATTAATGGGTACAACAAGGACTGGTCGGCTCGGAGTCAGTATAATGTGTCTGAGTGGGGTATTCATGCTTCACTGCGGCATGGTATCTCAGTGGGCTAGCCCTTTAAAACCAACCTTAAGTCTGGGCTAGTACAAGCAGCCGCACATACACATACACACGCGTGGACGAGCGAAATATTCTCAAGCACGACGTTAAACCCAATTTCACCTCACCTCACCTGAACCACTAGGCTACCCCACCGCCCAGTTAGCTTGGAATTAAGGTAACAGCGGACATCTATTGACAAAGGAACACTGCCGATGTGTCGTCATTGTAGTAATAACTCAGAAATAATAATAACTCGGCTGCTGGTAACACGAAGTGTTTTTCTCAGCGACATTTATTTCTGGGTAAATTCCCTGGATGTTTTGTGATTGTGTTTAGTGAGATGGCTTGTACTGATCATGCATTGTCCCATCAGTGTTGTGAGAACCTGGGGCTGTGTGGTTTCCCAGTGGGAAGGTAATCTCAGGTGTGACGACAGCGTGCACTACACACAGACTCAGTCGACCAGGTCAGCGGATACAGCCACCCGTGCGTCACGACCTGTACCAAACCCTGACAACAATAGTAACAGATACCCTGACGAAAGTTGTCGTGGACAGGCGGAAATTGTCATCATGACAGTCTCCCGGTCAACCGTTTTTGTTTGACTCTTTCATCACCACTCGCCCCTTTCCGTAACCTCCAAAGAAGTCAGTCAGAAGACTTGTCCCGGAATAACAAGAGTGGGTCACAAATGTGTTTGACTTACATGAATGATGTCATAGTAACTGTTGCCCTTGGCTGTCTCACAGTCCCTGAACCATATTATCTTCCCTACTGCCTAGCCCACCTTGCAATGCTAAAGCCCTAAATAAAGCAAGTCTAGATTTCCTCAGGTTCAGGAATTTCCTATTTTACTGGGGCTCCTTTTCAATTTAAATGTTACTATCAAAATTATAATATTCAGAGACTAAGCGTTAGTCTTCTGTTGCCCAGACGACGGTATTTCACTGTTACTCTACTACACTTGCAATAGTGACTGTCATGCTGATCACAGTTTTCATAGAATCTGTTGCCCAGACAACAGATGCCCTGATGACTGTCAGATGAGTTGACATGGCGGTTTATTTAATTTAACGAACGTTGTCCTGGTGACGGATGATTCATATGGAATGAATCATTAAAATCTACTCTCGATATTGACAACCTTGTCCATCAGCTGTCTCACTGTTGTGTGTTGTTTCGCTCAAGATATAAGCGAACCCCGTCTAAATAACCAGAATCTTAACCGCCGTCATAGTCACAGTAACAATAAACAAAATGCACGTGTAACGCAGTCTCTCTCAGTGGCCTGAGGTGTAAGCTAGATTCCAAACCATCGGTTGTGGATAGAAAGGTATTTCTATCATAATGCAGGTGTTTTCGCCTCGCCACAATGGGCCAGCCTATTTATATTTGGGGTTAGAATGAGTTGACCATTTAACGTCATACGCTTAAGGCTACGTCGAAGTAAACGGCAGTTTTAAGAGTAACGGTTACACAGATGAAGAGAACCCACCCGTCTTGCGTTTTGTTTACTTACGGGGTGAAACGTTTAGTAAACTACTACTCTGGTTGCAGGACTACCTGTGCAATACGGGGTTTTACTGGTATTTCTATAACAAATGTCTTGGTGTGTCATAACACTGGCAAATATGGAATGATATTGGTATGTCCGTTATAACACAGGTATGTCTGTTAACAAGGTTATGTCTGTTAAACCATTTGTATTTGTTATAACACAAACTGCCTGTTATAACCCTGGTATGTTTTGGTATAACACTGGTGGGTCTCTTGTAAGACTGGTGCTCCTCGAGTAAATCGTTAGCTGGCTCTAAAGCGAGATTCTGTTGCGATCAACTCTGACCTTTAGGAGAGGATATCTACCAGACACGTGCATCTCATTCAGACAAGCAATGTGACGTCATATGTTAGAATAAAGGCTATATTCGCAGCCTGTGCTATTTCAGGCAGCTGTACTCGCCAGCAGTGGGGTAATCAGTTACACGGGACGTTGTCCTTGACCTGTCTTGATGCAAGGTCACGTGTGATACACTGAGAAACTAATCAGAAAACCTGCGATAATTTGTAGCATGAATCGTACTGGAACGTATATATGTAACTCAAATATGTTTCTTGATGTAGATGCGTTTGGCGTTCCACTCTCGGTCCTGCTTATACTGAATTCAATGTTACATTTAAGTAACATTCTACGTCAATGACATCTTTGAATGATGCTCATTTCTTGCCGAGTTTCGATGGGCGAAAAGAAACGCAATGGTTTTATACCACGTTCTAACATGTCGAGGCAGATGCTCGTATTGTAATTGGTATTCGACATTACTGAATAGTAGAATGTCGACAAGTTCGACATGCCAAAATGTCGAGATTAATTTCCAAAAGAGAGAGTTAACTCGTAGCTCGTCACGTTATTGTCTCGTATGTTATTTCTCGTATGTTATTGTCTTGCGATAAAAATAAGCTACCAGGCGAAAAAAAGTAGACACCCATATTTGATGATGGCTAAAAATTAAGCAAACGAGAACTGCTTTTTCGATGGTGATGTATGTAATACGGGCATCATAGGTATGTTTTGGACCTTACGTTTTCACGTTTACGTTACGTTTATCCTTGTATTGTTATGGATAACATTTGTATTTTCGATCAAATCAAATTTTCAAGTGTATACTTACTTTGCCATGACATTTATGTAATAATATAGCTCCATGATAACTATGTAATATCGTGTGCCTGGACGAGGAGAGGTGATCACTATTCCAATGTATGAAACCGTGTGATGATTATATACTATTCACACTTTGCCAAGGGTCAAATCATGGATTCAACAGGAAACTATGATGTGGGGTGAAATTTGGTTTAAATATCTAAGCTTATTGTAAGCATGGAACCTAGGTTTCAGTATGTCATTGCATCTTGTGGACCCCATACCTGCTATTGACAGGTGTTGTTTATTTGTCAATGACTCGTTCCATGATTTGCAAAATGGTTGATTGGTGCCATGAAAACCATCTTTATGGTTACTCATGTATCAAGTGCATAGGGTTAGATTAAAGTGACGGTCTGTCTAAAGAGGGGGTTACCATATTATTATTTATCCAGTTTTAAATGGATACAATTTCAGATTATAAATCTACGTTTAAGTAAAGTTGTGATCCTTGACAAAGTGTGAGTAGTATATTTAGGAAATAAAGTTCGCTCTACCCCAATGTGTTTTGTAATAAAGTATAGTTTTGCCCTGAACATTGGGGTAGAGCGAACTTTACATCTTTTCTAAGATGCTAAATTTAATACTTTCTAAGGATAATTACGATTGATAAAAGGCAGAAAACAAATGACGGTGTCGGTGACCTAAATTAAGAATCCTCGCACAGGGCTAACTGGTGCGCTGTTCTATTGATGTGTCTGCCCCCCTACGTTAAGACGAACGTTACCAGAAAAAAACAAATGATAAAAGTTTGATGACGGTTTATGTTCGGATTAAATATCTTCTCTGAATTATTTTAATTACATCTGTCATTAACGTAAACCATATGGGGCAATATGAACGTCGCATTTCTACTACCAACGTAAGTTTAGATCAGTACATCCAGATGAAGCTGAGTAGTCAAGCGACATTCCACGATTGCATTGTGGGAATGTAAACATTGCGAACGTTACCGTGTCGCTGAAAACTTGTGAGTCGAATTGACACATTTTAAACGTCGTAAAACATAAACGTAATGTTTCCACCAGTGATGTTAGCTGCGTGAAGCAACTGCAAACCAAGAAACGGGATGCAACGGAGTAGTTTACTGTAGGAGGCCGTACGAGGCGATGACAACTGACATGCATCGTGACGTCACTTACATTGTGACGTAATGTAAAATAATTCGATTACGAGGGGGCACACTAGAATGGCACAGTGACGGGATAACGTCATTCAGTTGTTACGTCATCAAAAAACTATACCTTTATTGTCTCATAATGTTGTTTTTTTTCGATTGTTCTAACCGCTAGGCATCTTAGAAAACGACTTAATGGCACTTTTGATAGCAATGTAACCAATACACAATAATGTAACCACGTGATAACCATGTAACGATGTGACAATAGTGTAACCATGCGATAACAATGTAACCAATACACAATAATGTAACCACGTGATAACAACGTACCGATGTGACAATAGTGTAACCCATGTGATAACAATGTAACCAATACACAATAATGTAACCACGTGATAACAACGTACCCATGAGACAATAGTGTACCCATGCGATAACAATGTAACCAATACACAATAATGTAACCACGTGATAACAACGTACCCATGAGACAATAGTGTACCCATGCGATAACAATGTAACTATGTGATGTTGCAGGGAGGAGGAGACAAGTGCGGCATCTGCGCTAAGACGGTGTACGCCCAGGAGAAGATCGAGGCAGGCGGAATAATCTTCCACAAGAACTGCTTCAAATGTAGCGTGGAGAGTTGCAGATTGCAGCTGAAGTGAGTTATTGGATTTATCGACTATAATGTGACAATATTGGTAGGGGTGTTGATAGTGTGTTCCGGTACAGGTTTTCCCGTGATTAAAGGGCCTGCTGAGTTGCGTCTCGCTTTATTGAAGGGAGAACTGGGACTTGATCGTGGATCCCGTACAACTCACTCACTCACTTTAATACTGTTGCTCTCCACAGACCAACGAACCCGTGAAGATCCGATCCGGGTTAGAATTGATCTTCAGCCACCCATGTTTGTTGTTAGAGGCGACTAACAGGATCTGGTGGTCAGGCTCGCTGACATGTCTTGGTATTCCAGTTACGTAGATCGATGCTCATGCTGTTGATCACTAGATTGTCTGGTCCAGACTCCCTATTTGCAGATCGCCGCCATATAGCTGGAATATTTCTGAGTGCGGCATAAAACTAAAATCACTCACACACTCATTACAGGTCAGCGATGCAGCTTATTTGTTGCTCTAAACACTTTACAAACCAACTGTAGATAATCATATAACGGTAACTTGGGGTCTGTCGACATGGTAACGGAATGTTGTTTTTTTCCAGGCGTGAGGCATATGCCCAAGATGGAGGCACGTTATACTGCAAGAAACACTTTGCCTCAGAAGTGACGGCGAAAAACACGCAAAATCCAACCACCTTTTAACTCAACATGACACTGGAGTACCGTCCACAGTGCATTGTAGGATACATGCTGTCACGTGATTTGGCGTCAAGTTTTGTAGTCTTCTGTGAGAGGTCGACTCCTGTGTCGATAGGCGGCAATACGACTCTCAGTGTGCTTAGCTGAAACCAAATACAGTCCATATATATATATATATTTATTAGTAACTTCATTGGAAATGTAGGTGCTTAGATGCACTTGAAATGTGCTATGCGCTGTTAAACAAGTCCAAAACACATTTCCATCGCGCGGAGGTACCATTCTGCTGCTGCACCTGCCACCCCTGTGGGCAAAGTGAACTCTTCTGTAGTGCCTTACCCTAGAATGCTGGTGTATTTTCAAATCTTTAATTTGTAATTTGTAACTGTGAGTAAAACATCAAATTTGTTTTCAACTGTAGTAAAACATTCCCTTCATAAGAATTCGTTAAACTTAGGATCGTTATTTTTGTTTTGAAAGGGCCCTGGAAGTATATCAAGAGTCATCTGAAATACAACCTTGTCAGACCCCATCTTGTAGATATAGAAGTAAATAGTTTGTCAATCATCTGATCTGAAACATCATACATCGTCCAGGTTTTGTAGATACACATTTGTGACATAAAACGTTTTGTTTCGTTTACGGTAATGTGTTGTTGTTTTATTGCGGTCACCACACCATCGTCACGGCGTAACAGTTACAGTTACAGTGGTATCAACTACATCCATCAGAGCAATATTACAGATATACCACAGCTCTATTACAGTGAACAGCTTTTAGTTAACAGTGTTATAGCTAGATACCTGCTGTTGTTAACAGTATTACAGCTATACCACAATAACAACACGACTCTATTGTAGCAGTCTTTAGTTAACAGTGTTATAGCTAGATACTTGCTGTTGTTAACAGTATTACAGCTATACCACAATAACAACACGACTCTATTGTAGCAGTCTTTAGTTAACAGTGTTATAGCAAGATACTTGCTGTTGTTAACAGTATTACAGCTATACCACAATAACAACACGACTCTATTGTAGCAGTCTTTAGTTAACAGTGTTATAGCTAGATACTTGCTGTTGTTAACAGTATTACAGCTATACCACAATAACAACACGACTCTATTGTAGCAGTCTTTAGTTAACAGTGTTATAGCTAGATACTTGCTGTTGTTAACAGTATTACAGCTATACCACAATAACAACACGACTCTATTGTAGCAGTCTTTAGTTAACAGTGTTGTAGCAAGATACCGTTGTTAACAGTATTACAGCTATACCACAATAACAACACGACTCTATTGTATAGCAGCCTTTAGTTAACAGTGTTATAGCTAGATACTTGCTGTTGTTAACAGTATTACAGCTATACCACAATAACAACACGACTCTATTGTAGCAGTCTTTAGTTAACAGTGTTATAGCAAGATACTGTTGTTAACAGTATTACAGCTATACCACAATAACAACACGACTTTATTGTAGCAGTCTTTAGTTAACAATGTTATAGCTAGATACATGCTGTAGTTAACAGTATTACAGCTATACCACAATAACAACACGACTCTATTGTAGCAGTCTTTAGTTAACAGTGTTGTAGCAAGATACCTGCTGTAGTTAACAGTATTACAGCTATACCACAATAACAACACGACTCTATTGTAGCAGTCTTTAGTTAACAGTGTTATAGCTAGATACATGCTGTAGTTAACAGCATTACAGCTATACCACAATAACAACACGACTCTATTGTAGCAGCCTTTAGTTAACAGTGTTATAGCTAGATACCTGCTGTAGTTAACAGTATTACAGCTATACCACAATAACAACACGACTCTATTGTAGCAGCCTTTAGTTAACAGTGTTATAGCTAGATACATGCTGTAGTTAACAGTATTACAGCTATACCACAATAACAACACGACTCTATTGTAGCAGTCTTTAGTTAACAGTGTTGTAGCAAGATACCTGCTGTAGTTAACAGTATTACAGCTATACCACAATAACAACACGACTCTATTGTAGCAGTCTTTAGTTAACAGTGTTATAGCTAGATACCTGCTGTAGTTAACAGTATTACAGCTATACCACAATAACAACATGACTCTATTGTAGCAGTCTTTAGTTAACAGTGTGGTAGCTAGATACATGCTGTAGTTAACAGTATTACAGCTATACCACAATAACAACACGACTCTATTGTAGCAGCCTTTAGTTAACAGTGTTATAGCTAGATACCTGCTGTAGTTAACAGTATTACAGCTATACCACAATAACAACACGACCCTATTGTAGCAGTCTTTAGTTAACAGTGTTGTAGCTAGATACTTGCTGTTGTTAACAGTATTACAGCTATACCACAATAACAACACGACCCTATTGTAGCAGTCTTTAGTTAACAGTGTTGTAGCAAGATACCTGCTGTAGTTAACAGTTTTACAGCTATACCACAATAACAACACGACCCTATTGTAGCAGTCTTTAGTTAACAGTGTTATAGCTAGATACTTGCTGTAGTTAACAGTATTACAGCTATACCACAATAACAACACGACTCTATTGTATAGCAGCCTTTAGTTAACAGTGTGGTAGCTAGATACATGCTGTAGTTAACAGTATTACAGCTATACCACAATAACAACACGACTCTATTGTATAGCAGTCTTTAGTTAACAGTGTTATAGCTAGATACCTGCTGTAGTTAACAGTATTACAGCTATACCACAATAACAACACGACTCTATTGTATAGCAGTCTTTAGTTAACAGTGTGGTAGCTAGATACCTGCTGTAGTTAACAGTATTACAGCTATACCACAATAACAACACGACTCTATTGTATAGCAGCCTTTAGTTAACAGTGTTATAGCTAGATACATGCTGTAGTTAACAGTATTACAGCTATACCACAATAACAACACGACTCTATTGTAGCAGTCTTTAGTTAACAGTGTTATAGCTAGATACCTGCTGTAGTTAACAGTATTACAGCTATACCACAATAACAACACGACTCTGTTGTAGCAGTCTTTAGTTAACAGTGTTGTAGCTAGATACATGCTGTAGTTAACAGTATTACAGCTATACCACAATAACAACACGACTTTATTGTAGCAGTCTTTAGTTAACAGTGTTATAGCTAGATACATGCTGTAGTTAACAGTATCACAGCTATACCACAATAACAACATGACTCTATTGTAGCAGTCTTTAGTTAACAGTGTTATAGCTAGATACATGCTGTAGTTAACAGTATTACAGCTATACCACAATAACAACACGACGACTCTATTGTAGCAGCCTTTAGTTAACAGTGTTATAGCTAGATACCTGCTGTAGTTAACAGTATTACAGCTATACCACAATAACAACACGACTCTATTGTATAGCAGCCTTTAGTTAACAGTGTGGTAGCTAGATACATGCTGTAGTTAACAGTATTACAGCTATACCACAATAACAACACGACTCTATTGTAGCAGTCTTTAGTTAACAGTGTTATAGCTAGATACCTGCTGTAGTTAACAGTATTACAGCTATACCACAATAACAACACGACTCTATTGTATAGCAGCCTTTAGTTAACAGTGTTATAGCTAGATACCTGCTGTAGTTAACAGTATTACAGCTATACCACAATAACAACACGACTCTATTAAAGCAGCCTTCAGTTACAATGTTATAGCTAGATACCTGCTGTAGTTAACAGTATTACAGCTATACAACAATAACAACACGACTCTATTGTAGCAGTCTTTAGTTAACAGTGTTATAGCTAGATACATGCTGTAGTCAACAGTATTACAGCTATACCACAATAACAACACGACTCTATTGTAGCAGTGTTTAGTTAACAGTGTTATAGATAGATACATGCTGTAGTTAACAGTATTACAGCTATACCACAATAACAACACGACTCTATCGTATAGCAGTCTTTAGTTAACAGTGTTATAGCTAGATACCTGCTGTAGTTAACAGTATTACAGCTATACCACAATCACAACACGACTCTATTGTAGCAGTCTTTAGTTAACAGTGTTATAGCTAGATACTTGCTGTTGTTAACAATATTACAGCTATACCACAATAACAACACGGCTCTATTGTAGCAGTCTTTAGTTAACAGTGTTATAGCTAGATACTTGCTGTTGTTAACAATATTACAGCTATACCACAATAACAACACGACTCTATTGTAGCAGTCTTTAGTTAACAGTGTTGTAGCAAGATACCGTTGTTAACAGTATTACAGCTATACCACAATAACAACACGACTCTATTGTATAGCAGCCTTTAGTTAACAGTGTTATAGCTAGATACTTGCTGTTGTTAACAGTATTACAGCTATACCACAATAACAACACGACTCTATTGTAGCAGTCTTTAGTTAACAGTGTTATAGCAAGATACTGTTGTTAACAGTATTACAGCTATACCACAATAACAACACGACTTTATTGTCAGCAGTCTTTAGTTAACAATGTTATAGCTAGATACATGCTGTAGTTAACAGTATTACAGCTATACCACAATAACAACACGACTCTATTGTAGCAGTCTTTAGTTAACAGTGTTGTAGCAAGATACCTGCTGTAGTTAACAGTATTACAGCTATACCACAATAACAACACGACTCCATTGTAGCAGTCTTTAGTTAACAGTGTTATAGCTAGATACATGCTGTAGTTAACAGCATTACAGCCATATACCACAATAACAACACGACTCTATTGTAGCAGCCTTTAGTTAACAGTGTTATAGCTAGATACCTGCTGTAGTTAACAGTATTACAGCTATACCACAATAACAACACGACTCTATTGTATAGCAGCCTTTAGTTAACAGTGTTATAGCTAGATACATGCTGTAGTTAACAGTATTACAGCTATACCACAATAACAACACGACTCTATTGTAGCAGTCTTTAGTTAACAGTGTTGTAGCAAGATACCTGCTGTAGTTAACAGTATTACAGCTATACCACAATAACAACACGACTCTATTGTAGCAGTCTTTAGTTAACAGTGTTATAGCTAGATACCAGCTGTAGTTAACAGTATTACAGCTATACCACAATAACAACATGACTCTATTGTAGCAGTCTTTAGTTAACAGTGTGGTAGCTAGATACATGCTGTAGTTAACAGTATTACAGCTATACCACAATAACAACACGACTCTATTGTAGCAGCCTTTAGTTAACAGTGTTATAGCTAGATACCTGCTGTAGTTAACAGTTTTACAGCTATACCACAATAACAACACGACCCTATTGTAGCAGTCTTTAGTTAACAGTGTTGTAGCAAGATACCTGCTGTAGTTAACAGTATTACAGCTATACCACAATAACAACACGACTCTATTGTAGCAGTCTTTAGTTAACAGTGTTATAGCTAGATACTTGCTGTAGTTAACAGTATTACAGCTATACCACAATAACAACACGACTCTATTGTATAGCAGCCTTTAGTTAACAGTGTGGTAGCTAGATACATGCTGTAGTTAACAGTATTACAGCTATACCACAATAACAACACGACTCTATTGTATAGCAGTCTTTAGTTAACAGTGTTATAGCTAGATACCTGCTGTAGTTAACAGTATTACAGCTATACCACAATAACAACACGACTCTATTGTA